AAGATATTTGTAATACATACAATAGACAAAGGATTATTGCCATCATATGTAAAGAATCCCTACAAATTAATAAGAAAAATACAAACTTCTCAACAGAAAAAAGAACAAAGAAAAAAAAAAAGAAAAAAGAACAAAGAATATGAATGGGCATTTTATGGTGAAGGAAATTAAACACCGTGTAAACATATGAATGTATATTCAACTTTGCAAGTAAGCAGAGAAATACAAATTTTATCCAAAATACTATGTCATATCCACTATAATGGCTACAATTAAAGAGTCTGACAGTAACAGGCATTGGTGATGGTGTGAAACAAAGGCAACACTTATACAACTGCTTGATGGGAGAGTAAATTGGTAGAGCTGCTCTGGAGAACTGTGTTTATATTGATCATGGTTGAATATGTACGTGCCCAGGACTAGCTATTCCACTCTTAGGTATATAACCTGCCCCAAAATGACCTTAACATGTAGGTGTATATGTCTTCATAATTATATATATTTTTTGCACTTAACAGTTAGGATTCTTGGTTATAATTAAGAAGAGTCAACTCTGGCTTACTGCAGCAAAAAAAAAAGAAAAAGAAAAAGAAAAAAATTTCATGGAGAAATACAAAAAGCTCACAGAATTGATAGGAAGTATAGAAAATCAAACTTGAAAATGGGCAGGACTATGAGAAAGCAGGACCAAGCAACATCAACTAAGGAACTCACATTCCATATTGCTCAAAATTCAATGTAACACTTAACTCCTGCAGTACTCTGCTCCTCTCCATTACTACATTGAGAGGGGAAGTTCTGAGTGGGAAAACCTGATTGACTTAGCTTGTTATGGACCATCTTCCTAAATTGGTTATTCTCAACAGGAATATCTGCTTCTTAGGCTCTCATCAAGAACAAAAGAACTGCTGGGTATAGTGGTTTGTGCACACCCGTAATTCCAAGCAGCTCAGGAGACAGGGGCAGGAGGATCACAAGTTTGAGACCAGACTGGGCAACTTAGTGAGATTCTATCACAATTTAAAAAACATCAAAAGGACTGGGAATGTAGCTCAGTGGTAGAGTGCTTCCATAGCATAGGCAAAGCCCTGGTTCAATCCCCAATTTAAAGCAAATAAACAAAGAAAAAGAACTAGTTCCTATCTACCTTGGGATTCCCCTTGAATAGAAATGATACTCAGAGATGGAGTAGGCAAAACTACACATATCCACTGCAAGGAATGTACTGTGCTTTCCTCTCCCAGGGTCACACACATACTGCTTCCTCCCGCACACACACTTTGAACTATAATTGGCTCATATACTGTTTGGCAAATTGTATTGATATCTTTCCTTGTTATTCCACATAGATATATCTCTTTTTTTTTCTGATTTTCACCTATTATTCATATTTTCAGTCTTTGGCAATTTGAGAAGTAACCTTGTCATTGTTTTAATAGCATTTAAAATTTTCTGGGTAAATAGCAATTTATATTTCTTAGGTTTCTTTGCCCATTCTCAATTTTACAGGTGTAGTCACTACTATAGTAATATTTTAGATAGTAGGTATTTTAGGCCCTTTGGGCCATATGGCCGCTGTGGCAGCCAGTGCCGGTGTAGTATAAAAGCAGCCACAGACAACACATGAACAAATGTGCATTCCAATAAAACTTTATGTACACAACAGACAGTGGCCCACAAGCTTTAGTTTGCAGACTCCTGATCTATTTTTGTTGTTGCTACTATTTTAAGTTTATAAGAGCTCTTGGCATAACAGAAAAAATATTTATCCCAGTCAATTGGTAAAAGTGACCAAATTCTTAATAACTTTATAAAATGTTTTCATATCCAACCCAGCTTTATTTGGTTTGCATATGTGTTAGTCAGCTTTTTGTTTCTGTGACCAAAATACTCAACAAGAATAACTTAGAGGAGGAGAATTTATTTTGACTCATGTGTCCGAGGTTCAGTCCATGCTCTGGGTCAAGTCCATTGTTCTGGGCCCAAGTGAGGTAGGACATCATGGCTGAAGGGTGTGGTGTAGGAACAGTGTAGCCATCATGGCTGGCCAGGAAGCAGAGAGAGGGATGGAGCCACAGGAAGATGCACCCTTCCAAGGCACCCCCTCAGTGACCTATCTCCTCTAGCCATGTCCCACCTGCCTAGCAGTTTACCATCCAGTATACGATGGACTGATTAGGTTATAGCTCTCTTTATCCAATCATGTCACCTCTGAACATTCCTGCATTAACATAAGAGCTTTCAGGGGACATCTTATACCCAAACCAAAACAGCTTATGTGAAAAAATTCTTGTCAAAATATTATACCTAAAAGAGTCAAGTACAATTACATATTTTCACCTTCAAGTTCAATTTTTTCTTTTTTTTCCAAGTTCAATTTTTTTTAATATTTATTTTTTTAGTTGTAGTTGGACACAATACATTTATTTTATTTGTTTATTTTTATGCGGTGCTAAGGATTGAGCCCAGGGCCTCACATGTGCTAGGCGAGCACTCTACTGCTGAGCCACAACCCCAGCCCTCAAGTTCAATTTCAAGTTTAACAAGGTACCACTACCATGAGTTCTAGTTCATGATAAAAGTGGTCTTAGTTTGCTACAGATTTGCATCTGTGTGACATCTAAACTTAATTATCTGGCATTTAAGCCCTCTGGCATCTAACCCCAGGTTCTCTTTCCTGGGTGATCCTGCCAGTCCCTGATACTGAAGCTATTGCCAGTTCTCAAACAGGCCCCATACTCTACACTTTTTCTTCTTTGGGAAATGTATGATGACTGATTTTTTTCTTTGCGTTTCATATTTCATATATTTTTCCAGTTTTCTAAACTCTTCTTCTTAATCATGACTATGGATTTATCTCTATTCTCAGCCCATAGTGTACTATGTGGCATATTATGATTCTAAATAAAAGTGTGATCCACTATATGAAAAAATATAAATGATCACAAAAACCAACAAGATGAAAACAATTCCATTAACTTGACCATTCTGAAATACTAAGATAATTAGTAGCTACCATGGAAGACTGGGGATGAAACTTACCATGTATCTGCTCCTAGAGTTCTACCAAATAGCGTGAATTCAGTTGCTTAGCTCTGTGTGGCTGTATGCGGCTCACCAGGGAGCCTTTGCAACTCATGGGAGGCCACTTGATCCCTACACCAGTGATCTCATAACCAGTTCCAAGTTCTAAAGATGGTCAACATCTCAGATGTATGAAGTGTTGCTTTCTGTCAGAGACTGTTAAAGTAAAACACTCAAGGGGTATGTCCTAGAATATGCTTAAAACTTGCCAGCGATTATTCTGCATCTACATGATAATAATTTTAAAATTTTCAGGCATCACAACACTTTTTAAAAAGTTTGCTTTTTCTAAAATTCAATTGTTTTCTCCCATCCCCCAGACAAACCACAACAACACAAATAAAAAACACACAGCATCTTTCCTCTTGGTGGGAGGGGAGAGTGTACTGGGGATTGCACCCAGGGGTGCTCAACCACTGAACCATCTCCAGCCCTTTTTATTATTTATTTTGAGACAAGGTCTTACTAAGTTGTATAGGGTGGCCTTGAAGTTGCCATCCTCTTGTCTCAGCCTTCTCGTGCCGCTGGGATTACACCTCTTTAATTAAGTGCACAAGAAGAAGCAGTCACAAATAAGATTTAAGACCAGTGGCCAGGCTTCTCCCCTGATCAAAAACATCTTTCCTCTCACTCCCCCTGGCGTCCCATTCACCTTCTATTTTGGTTTGAAATCTTCACCCTTGAGAATCCCCTCACCGACTCATTCATCGGGGTCCAGTGAGGACACATTTGGTCCCTTTTAGGTGCTGGAGCTTATCTGAGCAGTTAAAAAAACATCCCATTCTCTGAGGCTCGGGACGAGGAACTGACTCTCCAAAATCCTTGGGCCAGCGAAGCTGCTGGTTCCCGCGAGCTTGCTACTGTCCCGACTGCCTTTCAGGTGCCGCCCAGGGTCTCGCCATCCCGGTTGGCACTGCACGACCTCGGGATTCCTAACCCGCTTAGCCCGTGGATGCTCCAAGTCTCACCATTGAAGCCGATGACAGCATCAAGCTCCAGCTCTCCCACCTCGGCCTCGGGCGAAATTTCCTCGTTCATCACTGAGAAATCCGCTCTCAGTCTTTTTTCAGCCCCAGCTGGTACAGCGTCTCCTGGTCGTTATGGTAACGGATGTGCGCATGCGCGCCAGGTCCACGCCGGCGCAGAAAACTCAAAAAAGAGTCAGAATTCTGAGTTTTATTTGCAATCTTGCAAATATACGGAGGGCTTCCTTTTTCTTTCTATTCTCTGGAAATTTGGGAGCTGGGAGCTGGGGTGAGCACTAACTGCACGGAACGAATTCCCCCCATTTCCTTGTAAAAAAAGCCTGTGATCTTTTGGATAACTATATAATTAAGCACCTAATGGCATTTAAAAAAAATACTTAAATATAGAGTATTTTTGCATCTGATGAGTAGACTTATGCTATAAAATAGTATGCAATTGATACTGCATTGGGCTCCTAGTTTGAAGCAAGTTAAAACAATTCTTTAAGATTTCGTGAAAGTTTATTTGAAGGTAAAACTTACATATCATAAAATTCACCTAACGTGGGTTTTAGTAAATATATACAGTGTACCTCTATCGCCACGATCCAGTTTTGTTTTGTTTTGAAAGCAGGATAAAAACTTCAGGAACAGCAGGCTTGAAGCGCTTTCACCTTCTGGAGGGGGAAATGCTTAGATTCGGCTCAACAATTTTAATTGCGTCAAGTAGTTCGTGTCATTTAGTGGAAAAAAGATTGCTCCAACCTACTGTCCTCACAGGGAGTGCTCTTCTTCTCCCCCCCCCCCCCCCCCCCGCCTCCCCCCCCCCGCTTCTAGTCTGAAGTGCTAGTGGACGAATTCACTTTGCAAGCTCCAGGCGGTCGCGCACCGGCGGAACCGCGGAGAGTGAACCCTACGAGCCGCCGTAGTCAGCTGCTGCGAGCAGGAAGTGTCCGAGCTGCGAGCGGAGGCGTCACGATGGCACCGGACCCCTGGTGAGCCCCGGGTGAGGGCGGCAGTGCTCTGAGGGACCTGGGAGGAGACCCGGCTTCCAGCGAGCGAGGCAGTTGTTCAGCATTGAGGCTGGGAGGCCTGTCCGGGTGAAGAGTAGCAGCGAGGAGGACCCTTCCCCTTCTGAGGGGGACTTAGCTGCATCCCGCCACCCTTGGTCCTTACATGGGTGGCCCTGGAAGGATACGGGGTAGACTTCTGGGATGCTGAGGACTTGAGCCGAATCTTAGTGTATTTCTCCAGCCCTTCTGGGCAGCATCTCGCCGCAGGGATTTCCCGCCCATCCAGGTCGTGGGGCTGACTGGCGCAGACTTCTCTGGACTCCTCCAAAAGTGAGATAGCAATAATCTTTTTTTTTTTTTTCTTTTTTTGTGGAATGTCAGCCCATGCGCTGAACTCTCTAGTGGAGAAACCAAAGTTTATAATCCATTGTCACCAGCTAGCTAGTAACTAGCCAGAGGTAGATCTTGTGGGCCCTTCAAAAACTTGTAGGAATCTGCGAGGGAAATGATGCACTTGTGATAAGGCATTTTACCCTGTCCCTCGTGTCATGAGGACTTCGGTCAGCAGCTACTTCTGCAGAAAAACAACAGCTAATAAGGATAATTTTTTTTTTTTCAGCCACTCAGTCCTGAGGACTGAAGGATGAAAGATACAAGTTGTGATCCCAAGAAACAAATTGATAAACTTAACAGACTTGATCTTTCTCTTTGGTAATTTATAACATTGTAGCTCTTTAAAGTTCTTGTTGGAGTGTATCTTATGTTGGTGATTCTCATATGTATTATTATTAAGATTCACGCAGTGTGTGTAGCAGGAGAATGGATTCCAAAGTCAAAGTCGGAGTTACCTGGAATGTAGATTATCTAGATCAATTGCTGAATTGAACTCTACCTTTTCCACCTAATTTTAACAATTGTGTATACCTCTGGTAGAAAATTTGGAGATTATTAAATATTTGCAGAGAAGAAAATTAATGGCGTTTTAAGCTCTATTATGTGAAAATAGCTGTCATTGATATTTTACATTGAATTTATTACTCTAACCTTTGTACACACACACACACACACACAAACATATGCTTTACAAAACAAGGAAATTCCTCCATGTCACCAAATATTTAAAAAAAATTTTTTTTGTAGTAGTAGATAGCATGCCTTTATTTGTTTATTTTACCCAGTGCCTCACACATGCTAGGCAGTACTCTGCCATTGAGCTACAGCCCCAGCACCATCACCAAGCTTTTTTGTAAGTTGTCTAAGCTGGCCTTGACCTTGGATCCTCCTGCCACAGCCTGCTTCCTGTCTGGGATTATAGGCATGCACCATCAGTGCAGGGTCTGAAAATATGATTTTTATGGTGCATATCAATGATATGAATGATCATTATTTATTTTAGGTTTTTGGTCTTGTTTGTTGTAGTTTGCTATTGCAAATCTATCCCCCCCTTTTTTTTTCATCTCTTTTCTTTGGGTTCCCTATACAGAAGTAGAAGCATTGGGTTCAAGATACAAATATTTTTAAGGCCCTTGATCTGTCTTGCTAGATTGCTTTCCATCTAGTGGAGCCAACTTTTAGAACTCAGAGATAAGGAGGCCCTTGCCTCCACCCCAGAAAACCAGATCCTACTATAACTTTACCTTTGTTCTACTGAATGTCATTGGCCATTGATGACTTCCTTTCTCCTGAGTTGTGTTCTAATATTTAGAAATGGAACATAGCCCGTACTATTTTAATGCCCTATCAAAGCAAGTGATAAGCTCTGTAATATAAGTAGCAAATGATTACTGTCTCTGAACAGGTTCTTGCTGAAGCTTTTAGTCTTATTGTTAGAGCAGCTTATTTGTTGATGACACACTATTTATGGAAAAATTATTTAACCTTAATAGTTTTATATTCTGGGGTTGGACTTTTTTAATATTGATAGTATGCTGTGGATTTTTTTGTTTGTGTTTTTAAAATCGTCATGGAAGGTAAAAGATACATGAAATAGAATATTGTAATGGACCCCTTCATACTCATCATCAGATTACTATAATTATCAATATTCTGTCCTTGTTTGATCTCTAGCCTCCACATCACTTTTTCTTTTCTAGATATATTTTAAAGTAACTCTCATAAGTATATCAATTTAACTGTATATTCAGTGTTTGATAAAAATGAGGACTGGTTCATAGTCTGGAAATTTCTTTTATGCTTCCGTTTTCAGTTTCTTAGCCTATGTTGTGGTATCACCTTCCTCTTATTCACTTAGGCCTGAGAACTAATCATTTACTTTTTTATATTCACTCCTCATAACAGTCTCCATTGTTTTTCTTTTCTTTTCTTTTTTTAATGTATTTGCCTCCCCTCCACCTCCACTCCCCCGGACTATTTCTGCTGTAGTCCAGCCCTATGTAGCTCAATACCCTGCAGATTGTACATATTGGTAATGGGATATAGAATTGAATAACCCAAGAAATCTACTGGTCACCTGTCAGTACTCTCATGTTCTTACATTACTATTTATATAAATGGAATTCAGATTAATTTTCCTAAACCAGTACTTGAGGCACTAGTGTGCTTGATACCATGATGAGCTTGCCTATTATCTCTCTAGAGTCCAGTGGCTCTCACACTTTGCTATATATTGAAATCACCTGGGGAGCTTTTCAGCACTCCCCATGTCCAGGTCAAACCCCATACTAATTTAATCAGTGCTTGTGGATGGGGTGGGATCTAGGCATTATTTTTTGTTGATTTGCTTGCTTGTTTTTTGAAGATTTCCCAGTGATTCCAATGTGTAGCAAAGTTTCAGGAACCACTGCTTTTGGGGGGCTAACTTGAGAACATGAGGATTGAGGGCAAGACACCTGGGAGTTTGTCCTACCTTTGTGACCTTCAACATTTCACATATCTTTAAGGCCTCTCTTTATGTGTAAAAGTGTCCCCTTTGGATCTAAAATCCCCTTGTAAGTCAAAACTTATAAGATTGGTGTTCCAGTTCTGCAGAAACTTAATTTCTTATCTCTACTGTTTTATATTGTACTCTCCTAGGGCCACTACTTGGCCAAATGTACGTGTTTTCTTCCTTTGATGTTTGCTTGCTCCATGTCCTTTTTACCATGTCTAGAATGTGTTCCTCACTCCTGTCTGAACAAGAGGCCTGCATTAACCTTGAAGTCAGCCCATTGTGTCCTCCTGTGGCCCAGCCTGTCTGAGTGCTTCAGTCAACAGTAATTTCTCCCATCTTCCAGCTCCTGAAGTGCTTCATTTAAACCTTACATTTGGCAGGATTTTGTTATGGAGTTTGACATGTTTGGTCTGGGACCACAGAACCAGATCTAAGCTCCTCTTGTCATATATGGTAATATGGAAGAAACCAGGTAAAATGTGGCAAAGCTGAGACCAGGACCCAATTTTCCCTATTAATTATATGTTATCTTATATTACTTGCTCTTTTTTCATACACATATACATCTTAATACATATAAGTTACATATATGAATATATATATGAATGATGATACTTTAGGATTAGTGACTGAGGATCCTGCCTCCTAGGATCCTTATGAAATTGATAACATAAAGTTCTCAGCATATGACCTGGCTCTGATCAGGTACTTAGCTGTTAGCTATTACTATAATTACCATGGTAAGACTCTTAAGGGAAGCAATTGGAGCATCTTTCTTCATTCAAAAAAATTACTTATCAGGTTCCTGCCATGTAAGGTGATATGTGGGAGTTGGGAGATTTTTAAGAAATAAACTGATTCTTAAGCAAAAATTGTGACGTGAGGGTCAATAGCAGTCTTCAATATTTTGTAATGGCCAGTACTGGAAAATAACATTTGTCATATAAGTACACCACAATCCGCTTTTAGAAACAGAAAGTGAAGTAGGGAAAATGAAATGTATATGTATGCTTATTTTTTGCAAAACAGAAAGTAGAAGTACTATAATAGAGGGAGAAAACCAGGGGCTATTGGGAGTTCACTGTGAATCCCAACACTGTCAAATAGCAGGTAGGTCAGTAAATGTTTTGAGAGAATTCTGGCAGGCTGAGATGTCAGGTGGACACGTGTCCCATGTTACCAGAGTGTTGTTGCAGGATATATAGTACCTGCTGTTCCTGGACAGTGGAGCTCTTCCTCAAGCAGATCACCATGGCTGGCTTCTCACCTTGCCTAGGGTCACCTGGTCTAAAGTGGCACCTGACCATCTGTGTGTCCCTTCATTCTGCTTTCTTTTTCTTCTTAGCACATGTCAACATCTGACATACTATGTGCATATGTATGTATGTATGTATGTATTTTTACCATTCTCCCTCTCTGGACTGTACATGCCTTGAAAACAGGGATTTTGTTCTCAGCTCTACTGTTCATTCATAGTGCGTGGAACAGTGCTTAGTACAGCACAGGATATACTAGAAATGTTTATTGTGTTTTACAAATGAATGTCTTCAAATGCTCAATCATCTGAAGAATGAGCTGATTTAAGAGCTGAGCCTCTGGAACCAGAGAATCTTGGTTTGCAGCTCTCATTCCCACATGAGCAAGTCCTTCTGCCTCTTTGTGCCTTTTTCTTGTGTGTAGATGGATGTGGTAATTGTATGCAATGCAGGTACCCAATGTGATTGTGTGAATTGAGTGAGTTTTTACAAATGAAGCATTCAGAATGATGCCTGGTGCATTGTAAGTACCATTGAATACACGTTACTCTTACAGGTCCTGTTTATTATCTTCCCTTCCTGTTTGAACTTGTGAGTAGAATTAAAAACTCAACTTGGACATTGTAGAAGTTTCTTTTAAAGAACCTTAAGCATTTTTCTTTTTGTATGACTTTAATACAGGTTCTCCACATACGATTCTACCTGCCAAATTGCCCAAGAAATTGCTGAGAAAATTCAACAACGAAATCAGTATGAAAGAAGAGGTGAAAAGACATCCAAGGTAACACCAGGAGGGAATTAGTATTAAAGTGATTTGTTTGAGCTTTGATGCCTGAAAACCTTCCTGAAGCTGGTGTGTGTGTGTGTGTGTGTGTGTGTGTGTAAATCTTTGAAATTTGTTTTACTATGTTGCAGACTTTTTTCTTCACCTGCTAAATTATGAATCTTCTCCAAAATATGAAATATTTCTTATTTCTCTCACTGAACTTTTACACACCTGCAGTGTTCCTGGGCCTTCTGTTCTTTGTACTATTGATGCAGTGGTAACTGCCAGCATCATACTCAGGGTTTTTTTTTTTTTTTTAAATAATGACTTCATATCCTTTATTACACATAGTCATGACTTTTCTTATTCTCTTTCATTTCTCCTTCTCTCAAAGTAATTTTGTCACACATCATTTAAAAAATTTTTGTGCTTTTTCTCAATTACCACTGCTTTTCCAATAAAATAATTCCATGGGATTTTGAATAGGTATGTAACATGTTTATAGATTAAACTGAGGAAGATTTACATTTTTACAATAATGTTTCCTTTATTTATATGACAGGCACTGAGTTGTATATTTTTTAGATTTTTTTGGTATTGTTAATGGAATTTTTTAAAAAATTTTTATTTTTTGGTACTGGGGATTGAACTTAGGGACACTCAACCACTGAGTCATATCTCCAGCCCTTTTTTGTATTTTATTTAGAGACGAGGTCTCCCTGAGTTGCTTAGTGCCTCAATAAGTTGTTGAGGCTGGCTTTGAACTCATGATCCTCCTACTCAGCCTCCTAAGATGCTGGGATAGGCATGTGCCACTGTACCCAGTTTAGAGACATATGGCTATATACTCTTTCATCTCTTGAATGCTTTTAATCTTTAATTCTGTAGAGTCTTCAGAGATGTGGTTGTGTTTGTTGTGTGGGTGTGTGCATATGTTTTGAGACAAGGTCTTGCTATGTTGTGCAGGCTTGTCTCAAACTCCTGGGTCAAGTGATCCTTTGGCCTCAGCTTCCCTCAGGTGCAAGCCATTGTGCTCAGTTTGTTGTGCTTTTTTTTGTGTTGCTCTTTACTCTTTATTTTTAATATTTAATTTTTAGTTGTAGTTGGACACAATACCTTTATTTCAGTTATTTATTTTTATGTGGTGCTGAGGATCGAACCCAGGGTCTCACACATGCAAGACGAGCGCTCTACCTCTGAGCTACAACCCCAGCCCTCTTTACTATTTAAATGAGAACCCTTCATTCCTTGGCATTCCCTGATAAGTATTGTGGGTGGTTCTTCCTTGGCTTCCAGAGGTTTTAGAATAAGGTTACACCTTTCCTTGGCTGCTGATACCTTGGAGGATTGCTTGATGTGTATCCCTTAGCCAGCCTCCTACTATGTCCTTGCTATTCTAATAAAGGGGCACTGGCTTTCCCCTAATTTGGGTAATTCCTACTTTAACAAGGTAGTGAATGAAACCTGTGGTATTCTGCCTTTTAAACTCATCTCTGATTTCATCCATGGTTGAATTTGTTTTCATTTAAATGAGCAGCTTTGTTTTTCACCTTTCCAAACTCCAGAGAGCTCTCTTCCCACCTCTGCTTCATCTTTCAATTTAATGCTTTAGAGTCAAAACAAAATTTCCTCTGAGTTTTTAGAGTGATTGGAGAAAATTCACGTAGTCCTGGAAAAAGAGTTATGTGTGGTTATCATTCCTTTAGTATGAAAAGAACACATTGCTGTAAACTGTTCAAATGGTTTGAAAATATACCAGTGTGTTCACAGACTGGTCAGTATGGTAGTGGACTTGATGCCATGTCATTTGAAGCATGGTTGAGGGAACTGTTGGATGTTTGCTGTTGAATGAAAACATTTGGGAACACAGTTTCCTGCATGGCTCCAGGGTAGATCAATAGGATTAATGGGTAGAAGCTCAGGGGACAGAATTCAGCTGAGCGTGAGGGCAAACTGATGGTTTCTAGTCAATGTCCACGTTTAGGTATGACCCCGTAGTCACTGGGGCAGGCTGTAGGGCTGATAAGAACCTCAGGTGAGGTAGCTAGACAAGGTGAACTTTGAGACTCCTCAGAATCCTGAGTTTGTCACTGGGAGGCTAAAGATCTCTTCTAGCCCTTCCTTGATTGATACATAATCTGTAAAAAAAATCCAAGTTTACATGATTTAAATTAGTAGATTCTACACCTCTGGACTAGAATACTTAGGATGTGTTCTTTTCTTTTCAGCTTACGGTGACAATCAGAACTTTGTTGCAGAATCTGAAGGAAAAGATCGCCCTTTTGAAGGACTTATTGCTCAGAGCTGTGTCAACACATCAGATGTATCCATGTAAACATTTCCACCTCTTTTCTAGAGTGGGAGGAAAAGCAGTCTTATTTTAAGAAAGGAAGAAATCTGGGTCTGGGCTACCCAGATTTTTCCACAGCTTGAGGAGGACCTGATTTTCACACTGTTGCCTAAAATCTTGATTTTTGCTTTAAGTATCTTTTACATGTTTTACAGTAAATATGCTGGCAAGGCAAGACCTGCCAAAGTAAAATAATTAACTTGTTTGGGTGTGACCTTTATAGGGCAGGAAGCTAATGCTTTCCATCAGTGTTATATTTACAGAGCCCTGCATTACTCTCTGTCCACTGCTTTGAGGATGGCCAGCCCCTGCTCCAACAGCAAAATGTCCATGACAGTCCTAAGCTGTGATTCTGTTTCTAGGATTTCCAGATTTTGTAATGATTCATTTCTTTCTGGAGAGGCCAGTACCAGTAGAGAACATACATCTTTTTTATTTTTAACTGTTCATATGGATTATTGAGATGTGACTTGTTTGCAATATTATTTTTCCAGGGGCACAGATACTGCCCCCAGTTTGGGAGTTTTGGGGGCAGAGAGTAATGGGAACTTGCTTTAAAGCAAGTTGGGCCATCATCTTAATCTCCCAACTGTCAAGTGTGAAAACCTTTTTTAGAAATTCAGAATCTGATCTGTGTAGAAAAAATATAGGGACCTGTTGCCTAAATGAACCCTTTAAACCCAAGTTTATATTGGTATGGAAACTAACATCAAATGGTCTTCTTTCATTTCTATAAATTGTGAGTAATTTATACCAGCAACCCAACGTTTAGTATTGACTTTGAATGTGTCAAATTCAATATGGGGAAATGTAGAAATATAGCTTTTTAGGTAAAGCAATTGAAGGTGTTTTAAAAAAATATTCTCTCAAGTGTAACTCATTTTATATTACCAGGATGGTTGATTTAGATTAGTTGCATGGTTTTCCAGGTATGCAATTATTAATCCACTAAGGTTTCAAATAAAAGTTTGATTTCAGTCAACAGTTGGGACTTTCTTTTTCACATAATTGAAATATTCTGATACTGAGTTTGTAATTTACCCTCCATCTGGTATCATTTGTTACTGCCCAGTTAGTCTATTATACCAGGAGCTTTTACTTTACCCAAATCAACAAGTCTAAATATGTAGACCTCAATTAGTTTCAGACAGGCAGAGAGATTTCCTTTACTAAATACCGGGAAGTCTGCACATGGGGTCAAGTTGTGCAAACTCATTTTAGTGTTATCAAAAGCACATACATGAGAAAGGTAACTAAATATTGTTTCATGGTATAATATTAGTACTTAGTATTTGTATTTAGTATATAGTATAACATTTAGTACTTAGTACTTAGCATTTGTTAGCCAACATTAAGATAAGTGATTAGTGTTCTTATTTATATGCTAAATCTACAGGGCAAGAGAAGTATATAAATTAAGAAATCTTACTTTTTCCTATTAATAATGTCTGCTAGCTATTAATTAGAGAGTAGTAAGCATGCCACAGTAACAGTTGACTTTGTTCTCCTAAATACTTATAGTCTGACCATCTGCTGAAATCTCTTGGATTTTTACTTTTGTGGTAATCTCAGAATTACCTCCTAATTATTGAATTAAGAACTGAGCTTTAAAAGCACTGAACAGAGCTGTTTAAACATTACAAAAATATTTAGGGACTTTAACGTGAATAAGCCAGAGTTTCCTGGGAGAAATAAATAGCTCATCTGAAATATAATAGCTTTCTTTTTTTTTTTTTAAAGAGGGAGAGAGATAGAGAGAGAGAGAGAGAGAGAGAGAGAGAGAGAATTTCAATATTTATTTTTCAGTTTTCGGCGGACACAACATCTTTGTTTTCATGTGGTGCTAAGGATCGAACCCGGGCCGCAGGCATGCCAGGCGAGCTCGCTACCGCTTGAGCCACATCCCCAGCCCCATAATAGCTTTCTTAAGAATTCTATTTTTTAAAAAATAATTCTCTATTGTAACTAGCCAGCCTCGTAGGGATGGCATGCAGATAACCCACCGCATGGGGGCGCTCCTAAACCTCTGTCTTTTCAGGGAGCCCATTTCTCTTTTGGTATAAGGGAAAGGAGGTAGCTTCTGTATTATGACAGCAATTTTTTAATTCTCCTTCTGCTCCCCAGTCTTTCCATTTGCTTACCTGCTTCTTAAATATTTTAAATATTATGGCAGTTATCCTCCATATTTAAGATATATCAGATAGCAATTTGTCATTCCTAATAGCCTTATATTATTGGTTTGTTTGGGTGAATCCTTCTCTTCTTTACAAAAAGGGTAATGAGTTGGGTCAAACTTTGCCCCTTCAATCACTGATACAGTTGGAAAGGAAAAGTAGCATTCTCACAGAGGAGTTTTTACACTGTGGGGAAGTATCTTTGAGAACTTTTAATAATTCCCTCCACAGCTGGGAAATAGAAGAGCCAGATTTAAACACAAGGCTGTCTGGTCCCAAAATAAGTCATTTAAAGCTGAATTCTACTTTAGTAGAAATAATACAGTTAACTGTCACCTGGCATGTATTCAACTAGAATTCTCTATTAATTGGCATGTTGCTGTAGTGCCAAGACAAATCATTTTTATAATGCAAACTCTCAAGAATCTTGTTAATCATCAGAAAGATTAAGCAGTGTTCACTGTGGTTTATTAGGTATATACTTTATGGTGTTGTAATTCCTGGAAAAATTTTTGGCTATAAATCACCAATAGAGTGACTTTTTAATCCCTTTTTGGGGGCCCAATTAAGGTTGGGTGACTTTGTAAATGTGAATATTTGAATACCACATTTCTTTTTTTTTTTTTTATTGTGTTGGGTAGTTAAGAGTTTATGGTACTTTGCTTAATAAATTAATGACTTTCTGCATTATGGAGTTTTATAGAGAATACTAGGAACTGCTAGAAAGATAAGTCCTATGAAAATGCTTTCAAAACAGTTCATGGAGTTTAGGCATGACATGTTATGCTCTTTCCCAAAGAAGTATTTTTCTCCTAGGAAGAATGAATGTGAAATTAAAATAAAAGTTCTATGCTTTTGAATCTGTTAGTTTACCACTAATAAGCCCAAATCCTGCAGCCAGAGAGTTTAAAATTGCTGGAAAATATTGCCTTCTAGTCACAGTGCTGCTTTGAGATGGGGATTATAATGGCCTTACCGTTGAGAGAAGGTGCATGCTGCGGGAGGCTACATGTGGAATTTTAGGTATACCTAAAATATCCTTAGAACTTGCTTGACATGAAGCTTGTCCTTTTGTTAGTTTTTCAAAGACACCACCTTTTTGCCTCTTTAAAAAGAATAAAAATAATCTCTTTACAAAGTGTTTCAATATCAGAAAGTATTTTGGTGCCTTAGGAGAAGGCCTGGGGAAATAATTTTTTAAAAAACCTATAAATAACTTTTCTCTATATTTTAGGGAAAAGGATAGGTAGATAGAAAGTGGCCATCACTATGTAATGAATGTGAATGATTGTAGGCATGGAGAGGCTAGCTGCCTCAATTCTAGAAGTATCCCTGGTGGCTATAGGGAGGCAAGGTTCTTAAATACTGTCTGGGACAAGTTTTCACAGCTGCCTGGGAGCTTGAGACTAATAAGGAGGAGATAGTGTGTATATATGTAGAAATTTTCTGGCCTATAGTTAGTTACTTGGTTTTTTCTAGTTTTTATTTGATTTTTTTTGGGGGGGGGCAAAAATCCTGTACATATATGGCAAAATGTATAATTGGTAATTCTAAATTAGTACTTCCCCTATCTCTGATTTGTCTGGAAATATTACTGGCCCACGAATCTGAAATAGGTGTAGTGGGAACAACACTGGCTTTGGAATTAGAACTCAGACTAACGACCACTTACCTGAGACCACACAGCAGTTCAGTCTTTCTGAGTCTTAGTTGCATTATCAATAAAGTAGAGTAATCTTACTTTACAAAGTTGCTATGAAAGTTGGAGAAAGTATCTTCTGTATGAGATAGGGAAGGTAAAAATTTATGTCGTTTGTAGGATTGTTGTGAGGGTTTGAGTATAGGCCTAGAGGTGCTTTACATATAGTAAGTCCTTCTTGAGGATTACCTCTATTTATTATTATATAATTATTGTAAAGATTATTGCTGCCATTGAGAATTTGCATCTAGACCTTCCTTTGTTGAATTTATAATTAGGTAAGTTGGTTTTATTACAGCACACAAATGATGATGGTATTAAATTAGTTCTTGCAAAATGTGATCAGTTCTTTGAGGAAGGTAAGGACTTGGCTTGGTACATAATAGGTATTTAGTGAAGTTGGTTGAATTTAAAAAAGAAAGTAAGCCATTAAAGTCTTCTGGTCTCACAAACCTTAAACTGTCTCCTTGCAACCTCTTCCATTATGGTATGGAGAAGTAATTATGTTCACCCTTCTTCCTTCTCTAGGGCAATTCATCTACAAAGTAAGACTTATCTAAATTCATTCATCTCTCTCTCTCTCTCTCTCAGGTGAACACAATACCTTTACTTTTATTTATTTGTATGTGGCGCTGAGGATTGAACCTAGTGCCTCGCACGTGCTAGGTAAGCACTCTACCACTGAGCTACAGCCCCAGCTCCAAGACTTACCTAAATTCTTAATTCTTAAATTCTTAATTCTTTCTCTAAGGCTTTTTTTTTTTTTTTTAAGTTGCATGGTTTTTTTTTTTTTTAATTTTTTATACCTTTTTATTTTATTTATTTATTTTTTATGTAGTGGTACTGAGGATCGAACCCAGGGCCTTGCACATGCTAGGCGAGCACTCTACCGCTGAGCCACAACCCTGGCCCCTTCCACTAAGTTTTAAGAAAACTCAGGAGCTGAAGGGGGTTGGTGTGTGGCAGGGATCCAGAGACCTGTCCACTCCACTGCATCTGTGGGTCAGACCAGGCTGTAGCCCAGAAGCTGGGCTTAAGCACACTGGAATTAGCTATTGGTAATGTGAAATCAGGATCTAATTTCCTTTACAGCTTACATT